CCCCAAAAAGGGAGGATGTTTTCGGGGGGGGCAGGGTGGGGGGGGGGGGGGCGGAGAACCACCATGTCTCATATGTTAGGGGGAGGAGATTCACACGGACCGCAGTCCTTTGACTGACACACAGTCCTGTTACTATGGAAACAGCGGCACATATTGACCTGACATCAGATCTATTGACAACAAGAAACCAAATACTAACATGTCCACACTGGGCTGGAGGGGGTGCAGGCAGCACAGACAGTCCTTATTTCAGGCAGAGCGGACTGACGCCGGGAATGTCTTCCAGGTCCCCGGAATGGCGCGCCGTATCTGAGGAAGAGCAGAAAGAGTTGAACCTGGAGAAGGAAGACGGCGAGTTCTGGTAATTAGTACAGAGGAGGAAATCTCTTCTTCATGGAGACTCGGCAGGGGGACCCCTCATACCTCCTCTCTCTGTACTCTGGAGGGGGAGCTGGGTCTCGGGCCCCGAGATGAAGGGGCCCCATGGAATGGATGTCTCAGGCTCCTAATTCTGATGTCACTTCCTTGTGATTTCCTTCTAATTAGGAGAATTGTATCCGATACCGAAAGATCCCCATATGTCCTGTGGGGGGTCTCAGATCTTCTGCAGAGGAGGATGATGGGGGTCTCAGATCTTCTGCAGAGGACAATGATGGGGGTCTCATATCTTCTGCAGAGGAGGATGATGGTGGTCTCAGGTCTTCTGCAGAGGAGGATGATGGGGGTCTCATATCTTCTGTGGAGGAGGATGATGGGGGTCTCATAACTTCTGTGAAGGAGGATGATGAGGGTCTCATATCTTCTACTGAGGACAATGATGGGGGTCTCATATATTCTACTGAGGACAATGAGGGGGGTCTCATATCTTCTACTGAGGACAATGATGGGGGTCTCATATCCTCTACTGTGGACAATGATGGGGGTCTCATATATTCTACTGAGGACAATGATGGGGGTCTCATATCTTCTGCAGAGGACAATGATGGGGGTCTCATATCGTCTACTGAGGACAATGATGGGGGTCTCATATCTTCTACTGAGGACAATGATGGGGGCCTCATATTTTCTGCAGAGGAGGATGATGGGGGTCTCATACCTTCTACTGAGGACAATGATGGGGGTCTCATATCTTCTGCAGGGGAGGATGATGGGGGTCTCATATCTTCTGCAGAGGAGGATGATGGGGGTCTCATATCTTCTACTGAGGAGGATGATGGGGGTCTCATATCTTCTGTGAAGGAGGATGATCAGGGTGTCAGATCTTCTGGAGGGAAGGATGATGGGAGTCTCATATCTTCTGCAGAGGAGGATGATGGGGGTCTCATATCTTCTACTGAGGAGGATGATGGGGGCCTCATACCTTCTGCAGAGGAGGATGATAGGGGTCTCATATCGTCTACTGAGGAGGATGATGGGGGTCTCATATCTTCTGTGAAGGAGGATGATGGGGGTCTCATATCTTCTACTGAGGAGGATGATGGGGGTCTCATATCTTCTGCTGAGGACAATGATGGGGTCTCATATCTTCTGCTGAGGACAATGATGGGGGTCTCATATCTTCTACTGGGGAGGATGATGGGGTCTCATATCTTCTACTGAGGACAATGATGGGGGTCTCATATCGTCTACTGAGGACAATGATGGGGGTCTCATATATTCTACAGAGGACAATGATGGGGGTCTCATATCTTCTACTGAGGACAATGATGGGGATCTCATATATTCTACTGAGGACAATGATGGGGGTCTCATATCTTCTGCAGAGGACAATGATGGGGGTCTCATATCGTCTACTGAGGACAATGATGGGGGTCTCATATCTTCTACTGAGGACAATGATGGGGGCCTCATATTTTCTGCAGAGGAGGATGATGGGGGTCTCATACCTTCTACTGAGGACAATGATGGGGGTCTCATATCTTCTGCAGGGGAGGATGATGGGGGTCTCATATCTTCTGCAGAGGAGGATGATGGGGGTCTCATATCTTCTACTGAGGAGGATGATGGGGGTCTCATATCTTCTGTGAAGGAGGATGATCAGGGTGTCAGATCTTCTGGAGGGAAGGATGATGGGAGTCTCATATCTTCTGCAGAGGAGGATGATGGGGGTCTCATATCTTCTACTGAGGAGGATGATGGGGGCCTCATACCTTCTGCAGAGGAGGATGATAGGGGTCTCATATCGTCTACTGAGGAGGATGATGGGGGTCTCATATCTTCTGTGAAGGAGGATGATGGGGGTCTCATATCTTCTACTGAGGAGGATGATGGGGGTCTCATATCTTCTGCTGAGGACAATGATGGGGTCTCATATCTTCTGCTGAGGACAATGATGGGGGTCTCATATCTTCTACTGGGGAGGATGATGGGGTCTCATATCTTCTACTGAGGACAATGATGGGGGTCTCATATCGTCTACTGAGGACAATGATGGGGGTCTCATATATTCTACAGAGGACAATGATGGGGGTCTCATATCTTCTACTGAGGACAATGATGGGGATCTCATATATTCTACTGAGGACAATGATGGGGGTCTCATATCTTCTGCAGAGGACAATGATGGGGGTCTCATATCGTCTACTGAGGACAATGATGGGGGTCTCATATCTTCTACTGAGGACAATGATGGGGGCCTCATATTTTCTGCAGAGGAGGATGATGGGGGTCTCATACCTTCTACTGAGGACAATGATGGGGGTCTCATATCTTCTGCAGGGGAGGATGATGGGGGTCTCATATCTTCTGCAGAGGAGGATGATGGGGGTCTCATATCTTCTACTGAGGAGGATGATGGGGGTCTCATATCTTCTGTGAAGGAGGATGATCAGGGTGTCAGATCTTCTGGAGGGAAGGATGATGGGAGTCTCATATCTTCTGCAGAGGAGGATGATGGGGGTCTCATATCTTCTACTGAGGAGGATGATGGGGGCCTCATACCTTCTGCAGAGGAGGATGATAGGGGTCTCATATCGTCTACTGAGGAGGATGATGGGGGTCTCATATCTTCTGTGAAGGAGGATGATGGGGGTCTCATATCTTCTACTGAGGAGGATGATGGGGGTCTCATATCTTCTGCTGAGGACAATGATGGGGTCTCATATCTTCTGCTGAGGACAATGATGGGGGTCTCATATCTTCTACTGGGGAGGATGATGGGGTCTCATATCTTCTACTGAGGACAATGATGGGGGTCTCATATCGTCTACTGAGGACAATGATGGGGGTCTCATATATTCTACAGAGGACAATGATGGGGGTCTCATATCTTCTACTGAGGACAATGATGGGGATCTCATATATTCTACTGAGGACAATGATGGGGGTCTCATATCTTCTGCAGAGGACAATGATGGGGGTCTCATATCGTCTACTGAGGACAATGATGGGGGTCTCATATCTTCTACTGAGGACAATGATGGGGGCCTCATATTTTCTGCAGAGGAGGATGATGGGGGTCTCATACCTTCTACTGAGGACAATGATGGGGGTCTCATATCTTCTGCAGGGGAGGATGATGGGGGTCTCATATCTTCTGCAGAGGAGGATGATGGGGGTCTCATATCTTCTACTGAGGAGGATGATGGGGGTCTCATATCTTCTGTGAAGGAGGATGATCAGGGTGTCAGATCTTCTGGAGGGAAGGATGATGGGAGTCTCATATCTTCTGCAGAGGAGGATGATGGGGGTCTCATATCTTCTACTGAGGAGGATGATGGGGGCCTCATACCTTCTGCAGAGGAGGATGATAGGGGTCTCATATCGTCTACTGAGGAGGATGATGGGGGTCTCATATCTTCTGTGAAGGAGGATGATGGGGGTCTCATATCTTCTACTGAGGAGGATGATGGGGGTCTCATATCTTCTGCTGAGGACAATGATGGGGTCTCATATCTTCTGCTGAGGACAATGATGGGGGTCTCATATCTTCTACTGGGGAGGATGATGGGGTCTCATATCTTCTACTGAGGACAATGATGGGGGTCTCATATCGTCTACTGAGGACAATGATGGGGGTCTCATATATTCTACAGAGGACAATGATGGGGGTCTCATATCTTCTACTGAGGACAATGATGGGGATCTCATATATTCTACTGAGGACAATGATGGGGGTCTCATATCTTCTGCAGAGGACAATGATGGGGGTCTCATATCGTCTACTGAGGACAATGATGGGGGTCTCATATCTTCTACTGAGGACAATGATGGGGGCCTCATATTTTCTGCAGAGGAGGATGATGGGGGTCTCATACCTTCTACTGAGGACAATGATGGGGGTCTCATATCTTCTGCAGGGGAGGATGATGGGGGTCTCATATCTTCTGCAGAGGAGGATGATGGGGGTCTCATATCTTCTACTGAGGAGGATGATGGGGGTCTCATATCTTCTGTGAAGGAGGATGATCAGGGTGTCAGATCTTCTGGAGGGAAGGATGATGGGAGTCTCATATCTTCTGCAGAGGAGGATGATGGGGGTCTCATATCTTCTACTGAGGAGGATGATGGGGGCCTCATACCTTCTGCAGAGGAGGATGATAGGGGTCTCATATCGTCTACTGAGGAGGATGATGGGGGTCTCATATCTTCTGTGAAGGAGGATGATGGGGGTCTCATATCTTCTACTGAGGAGGATGATGGGGGTCTCATATCTTCTGCTGAGGACAATGATGGGGTCTCATATCTTCTGCTGAGGACAATGATGGGGGTCTCATATCTTCTACTGGGGAGGATGATGGGGTCTCATATCTTCTACTGAGGACAATGATGGGGGTCTCATATCGTCTACTGAGGACAATGATGGGGGTCTCATATATTCTACAGAGGACAATGATGGGGGTCTCATATCTTCTACTGAGGACAATGATGGGGATCTCATATATTCTACTGAGGACAATGATGGGGGTCTCATATCTTCTGCAGAGGACAATGATGGGGGTCTCATATCGTCTACTGAGGACAATGATGGGGGTCTCATATCTTCTACTGAGGACAATGATGGGGGCCTCATATTTTCTGCAGAGGAGGATGATGGGGGTCTCATACCTTCTACTGAGGACAATGATGGGGGTCTCATATCTTCTGCAGGGGAGGATGATGGGGGTCTCATATCTTCTGCAGAGGAGGATGATGGGGGTCTCATATCTTCTACTGAGGAGGATGATGGGGGTCTCATATCTTCTGTGAAGGAGGATGATCAGGGTGTCAGATCTTCTGGAGGGAAGGATGATGGGAGTCTCATATCTTCTGCAGAGGAGGATGATGGGGGTCTCATATCTTCTACTGAGGAGGATGATGGGGGCCTCATACCTTCTGCAGAGGAGGATGATAGGGGTCTCATATCGTCTACTGAGGAGGATGATGGGGGTCTCATATCTTCTGTGAAGGAGGATGATGGGGGTCTCATATCTTCTACTGAGGAGGATGATGGGGGTCTCATATCTTCTGCTGAGGACAATGATGGGGTCTCATATCTTCTGCTGAGGACAATGATGGGGGTCTCATATCTTCTACTGGGGAGGATGATGGGGTCTCATATCTTCTACTGAGGACAATGATGGGGGTCTCATATCGTCTACTGAGGACAATGATGGGGGTCTCAGATCTTCTGCAGAGGAGGATGATGGGAGTGTCAGATCTTCTGTGAAGGAGGATGATGGGGGTCTCATATCTTCTGTGAAGGAGGATGATGGGGGTCTCAGATCTTCTGGAGGGAAGGATGATGGGAGTCTCATATCTTTTGCAGAGGAGGATGATGGGGGTCTCAGGTCTTCTGCAGAGGAGGATGATGGGGGTCTCATATCTTCTGCAGAGGAGGATGATGGGGGTCTCATATCTTCTACTGAGGAGGATGATGGAGGTCTCATATCTTCTGCAGAGGAGGATGATGGGGGTCTCAGGTCTTCTGCAGAGGAGGATGATGGGGGTCTCATATCTTCTGCAGAGGAGGATGATGGGGGTCTCATATCTTCTACTGAGGAGGATGATGGGGGTCTCATATCTTCTGCAGAGGAGGATGATGGGGGTCTCAGGTCTTCTGCAGAGGAGGATGATGGGGGTCTCATATCTTCTGCTGAGGAGGATGATGGGGGTCTCATATCTTCTGTGAAGGAGGATGATGGGGGTCTCATATCTTCTGCAGAGGAGGATGATGGGGGTCTCATACCTTCTGTGAAGGAGGATGATGGGGGTCTCATATCTTCTACTGAGGAGGATGATGGGGTCTCATATCTTCTACTGAGGACAATGATGGGGGTCTCATATCTTCTGTGAAGGAGAATGATGGGGGTCTCATATCTTCTACTGAGGAGAATGATGGGGGTCTCATATCTTCTGCAGAGGAGGATGATGGGGGTCTCATATCTTCTACTGAGGACAATGATGGGGGTCTCATATCTTCTGCAGAGGAGGATGATGGGGGTCTCATATCTTCTACTGAGGAGGATGATGGGGGTCTCATATCTTCTGCTGAGGACAATGATGGGGGTCTCATATCTTCTGCAGAGGAGGATAATGGGGGTCTCATATCTTCTACTGAGGAGGATGATGAGGGTCTCATATCTTCTACTGAGGACAATGATTGGGTCTCATACCTTCTGCTGAGGACAATGATGGGGGGTCTCATATCTTCTACTGAGGACAATGATGGGGGTCTCATATATTCTACTGAGGACAATGATGGGGGTCTCATATCTTCTGCTGAGGACAATGATGGGGGTCTCATATATTCTACTGAGAACAAAGATGGGGTCTCATATCTTCTACTGAGGACAATGATGGGGGTCTCAAAGCTTCTACTGAGGACAATGATGGGGGTCTCATATATTCTACTGAGGACAATGATGGGGGTCTCATATCTTCTACTGAGGAGGATGATGGGGGTCTCATATCTTCTACTGAGGACAATGATGGGGGTCTCATATCTTCTGCAGAGGAGGATGATGGGGGTCTCATATCTTCTACTGAGGACAATGATGGGGGTCTCATATCTTCTGCAGAGAACACAAAACGTACAAACAGCGCTCTTGTGCTGATAATAAGGGGGTGAACAATGTATGACCCTAGATCGTGTGCAGCCCTAAAACCCAGGAGGAGTGCCTGTGTATCTGAAAACTTGAAACAAAAAAATCCAAAAGGGCGCAACGCTAGGTGGGCTAACTGACCGGGTCGGGAGACCCAGGGAGAATGACAGGAGAATAGTGTGACAATGGGTGCACTGGGCGAAAAACCGGAGGATAGCTGAGGAAAAAGAATAAGCACTTACATTTCATTTCACGGGACCAGAGGATGGACGGCCGGTGCAAAGGATCGGGTCATCCGTGGTATCTACCTGGGACTGGTGAGCCGGGGGGATGTGCATCCACACGGGGAGGGGAGGCTGTGGGCGAGGAAGAAAAAGGAGCAACCCCAGGAATGGGGACTCCGTGGCCCGCTGTGTGACTTCCAGTTCATTACTCACGGCCAATCCTCCTTCACCGATCACTTAGACAACAGATATCACATAAAACAGTTTATCACATGCTCACATGACCACGTAGTATATGGCCGAAAATGCCCGTGCAATCTATTATACATTGGTCGCACTATCCGTCCGCTGAGAAAGAGGATAGGAGATCATAGACGCTTCATCGCTGACGGCAACTGTGATCACAGCGTCCCTAGACACTTCGCAGCAAAACACGGCAAACGCATCCAGGATCTTTGCGTTTTCGCCATAGAACAAATTCCTGACCATTTCTCCCCAGCCGAACGTTTCCAAAAGCTACGCAGACAAGAAACATTCTGGATATACAACCTGAATACCCAGACCAATCGGTCCCCCACATACCCGATGTTCCCCTCCACGAACTCAGCCTCAGATTAAATTGCGTTACGCTCTTCCACATATCAGTATGACGCACGCCTTCCCATGATAGCCTCCTTAAACATCTGTTTCATCATTCGTTTTAAATACTCGTTTTAATACATTTTGTCTATTTTTATACTCATATTTTTAAAACTTTTAGTTTTTATTCATCTATTATAGCTCATGATTTATGTGCCAACTTTTTATTCCCATTGAGATCCTCCCCAAATCTCATTTTTAACTATTCCTTTGCGTTATCAAAACAATATATGGTAGACAGGTCCCCGAGACGAAATACCCGTATTTAATGCTCCCTTGCAGCAGCCCCCCTCCCAAATCTGCAATAAAATTACCATAATCAGAAATCTATTTTAACACACACACACACCACGAATTGTCCCCCCCCCCCTCTAAGATTGTATACAATTAGACAATCAACCTTAGAGCGTTAGGACATTTCTAATGCCTCTCCCCGGTGGTGGCTGACTATTCATGTCTGTTATGCCCATGGCACGCTCCCCTACGGACTGAATAGGGGCCATAGACCCACCCCCAAGTTGCCCCCAATTGTTCAACCTGGCTAGTGTAGCTTTAGCCCTTACCGATTACTACACATGCCGAGGCTCCACTACTTGGAGCGTGCGGCTCCCCCGCCCACTGGCACTAAGCTCCACCCAGCTGTCACATTTAAATCGGCGGTTTCCCGCCGCC